GGCGCGGGGCGGCGGCGCTGGGTTCCGCAGACCCAGACCCACCCACGGAAGATCCGTCGCCAGGACTGCCCGGCCCCCGCAACCAAATCAGAGACCTGGGGCACGGGGGGACATGCGACCGGCAGGAGGCGGGGCTGAGTGGGCTAACGGAAGACAGTCCGAGGGACAGGCAAGGGGGTCTTGGTCTTCAGAGGCCCAGAGCAGATCCCGAACAGAGGGCCAGGTACATGCACAGGGGCTGTGGAGAGGGGTCAGACATAGAGGTGGTGGGGTGGAGAGAGTGGAGGGGGGTGTCCCCCTAATGGAGAAGAGGCCAAGCACTGGGAGAGTGGGGAGCAGAGGGGAGGGGAGAGCAGGAGCTGCCAGAGACTGGTACTAGGGCCTGCCCTTGGGGGTGGGGTGTGGCCAGAGCAGGCGACTGAGCCAGGCCAGAGCCCTGCTCTTGGATGGAGTCCTGAGCTCCTCAGCTCACCCAACCCTGCAGCTGTCTGTGCCCGCACTTGGCCCTTTCACACAGACTCCCCAGAAAGGCCCTCAGGGCGAAGGTCTCTGTACATCAGTGGGGTCCTCTCCTCACCTCTCCTGGCCCCTGTCAGGGTGGTGGCCACTCAGTAAGATGCCCCTTCCAGGGCAGTCCCAGTTCCCAGGGGTACCTTCTACTCTGGAGGGGCTAAGAGGACAGTGAAAGGTCAGCACACGGGTCGCTCTGCCCTGCCCGTCAGCACCAGGTCAGCTGCATGCCTACAGGACCACTCACAGTCCCCCCAAGCACAGGTATATGCACCCAGCTGCACCACCCCAAACGCCTATGGAAGCACACCCCCGGAGGCCCGGCCACGCATTTACCCTCAGAATCATATACACAGACTTCCTCCCTTCGAGTGTGTCACATGAGTGGGTTCCACTCTTGGTGCTGGCTGTGGGACCTGGGCACCTCACCTTTCTGACTCCAAGCCCACGTTCCTCCTGCCTAAAATGGGACCAGTCCTCATCTCACAGGTGAGAGGGTGAAGATCAGCACAGGGCCTGCCTCCAGCGCGGGTAGGATATTAGTGCACTTCCTCCACCTCGCGCACTAACACCCAGGTGCTCTTGGCCTGTCCCAGAGCTGGAGACTCCATGACTGTCCTCAAGAACCTCCTGGGCTAGGGGAGAGGACAGAGGAGCCAGTGGCACCTGTGGGGACAGAGGTGGCAGTTTTTGGATCCTTTCTGCAAGTGTAGACAGAGCAGCCTATGAGGACCAACCCCTGTCTACCTCCGAAGGGGCTCAGAGGGGTAAGCGACTTATCCGAGGCCCCCAGTCCCGTCTGTGTTCCCTCCACAGCTTGCTAGGGCTGCCATGGGCATGAGCCTGGGGACTCCGTCTTCCTATTTTCACGTGGTGATTACAGTCCAGAGTTAGCCCAGGCTTGGTTGAGCAAAGGAAGCCCAGCTCTAAGACATTCAGCAGCCATATGTACAGCGAGGGCTTCTGAAACGACCGGCCAGGCGCCGTGGAGAGGGCTGCATGTGCTGCAGCTCACGTACACTGTGAGACAGCAGCGAGAACTCTCCTGCACAGGAGGAAAGTGAGGCTCAGAGATGCGCCTGACTTGCTCAAGGTCACACAGCTGGTGAGAGGCAGACCTGGGGGCTTTCCTCTACCAGAACGCAGGTGTGCAAGCACAGAGACCGGTGTGGGTCTTTGCCACTCTCAGGTCACCCTGGTTGGGCACTGACTACACTGGCATTTTCCTGGAAGCAGGCAGGAATGTCAGGGTTAGACAACAGCAGCCTAGGACCCCTGGGACTTGAGGCAGGCAGGTGGGCAGAGTGGTCCTGCTCTGTCTCTGCCAGAAAAGCCAGGACATCTCAGGTTGTGCTGAGCCAGGTAGGGGTGGGGTGAGGAGAGGTAATGCTTTGGCTGCTGCCAGCTTTACTGGACACTAAGCATCAGGGTAGGGCTTGCTGGAGGCTGGGGTGAGACTGGGAGGAGGAAACCAAGGCTCAGAGAGGGCAAGGAGGTATTCACATGCAGAGACTTTGTAGGGAGTACAGGCCTGGCCCCCGGCAGCTTGGGTCACTATAGTTGGAGGGGAGACCAATGAGGGGGCGGCAATGCAAGACAGAGACCCCGGGTCCTCCCGCTGATCCATGGCAGGACCCATTTGCAGAGCCTTTTGCGTGGCCCTCACTCATGTCCTCTGAGCTGATGTAGGCCAACACACATCCTCGGCCACCCTCCTAGCTTCGATCTCCACAGACTCAGAGCTCTTGGAGGCAGTTTCCCTTCCCCGAGCCTCTTCTCAGGCCGGTTCGGAGAGAGCTGCTGAGTTCACTGAGTGTGGCTGTGCAGGCTGTTCACTGCACAAAGGCACCTGGCTGAGTGGCCACACCTCACTTGTCCACACCTCACACCTTGCATGGTGGGGGCCTTGTTCCCAAGCGCAAAGGCATTGTAGGGGCTAGTGCAACCTGTGAAGGAGGCCCGTGAGAACAGGGTGCAAAGTTTCTGCATGAGGAGGGAGCTGGTCCTCTTCTGGTCCGACACCTCAGTCCGGGCTCCCGATGCTGACTGCTGATAGCGGGACCTGCAGAAGGATTGCCAGCAGATGCTTCCCTGGCCCGGCCCTGGCGGCATAGACAACAGGGCACCACTGCGTGACGCTGGAGCCATATGGGAGAGGTCCTGGTCTGGATCCCGTGTTGGACCTGAACAGGCTAGCTGGGAAGCTGGAAGGCTGAGTGTGGGGCGATGGATTACTGCGTGGTGAGGACAAGCTCTCTTTCTGTCTCTCTCTCATGAACTATACAACTAAAAAAGGAAAGGAAGGAAAAAAGAAAGGAAATGCCTCCCTAAATAGGGAAACAGTAGCTCAGTCCCAGCTAGAGGGGCCCTGCTGTCATCACCTGCTCCCATCCAAGGTGAGCCACAGCTCTCCCCACCCCGGCCCAGCCTCATGATGGACTCCCAGCCCAGGGCTGAGGCTGATGCGGTCATGCTCCCATATCCTCTCCTCCGCCCCAAAAGAAAAAAAGCTGAACCCCGGAGGGTGGAGAGTCTACAGTGGACTCCAGAGACAAGTCCCCACCCTCCTACTTGCTGCAGTGCCTGAGATGCCACCCTGAGACCCCGTCTAAAGCTAAGACCTTATCTATACAGCACAGCTCTGCATTCTTGCCAGCTCTGGCTCTCGCTGCAGTCTTGGACTGAGCTTCAGTTCTCTAATTAAGACTCTCAGGGCCCCGGAGGGAGATGGGGTGCCTGTGTGTGTGAGTGTGTGGGGGGTTCTGAGAAAGGGTTTATGAACTCCAGGTAAGGGGGTTATTTATTTATTTATTTGGCTATAAGGCACGTGCACTCACCAGGAGACAGAGAGAGACATAGAGACAGAAAGCGAGAAATCACCCCCCAGGGGGGATGGCCACGCCACAATCCCTTCTCCTCCATTCTCCTCTCGGGATCTTGGACACGCACGCACACGCGCCCGGCGTGAGTTTTAAGCCACTGGGTCTGGGACGCGAACCGCGGTCGACTACGTGGGAATCCAGCGACATAGCCATTACGCCAACTGCTGGTTCCCGGTAAGGGGGTTAAGCCGTAATGCTGGACATGCACGTGTGTGCAGGATCTGTTGGGCTGAAGGGCTGGATGAAGGCTATTAGACATCAGAGGTGCTGGGTGGACAGCAGGAGGGAGCGCCCCGAGGAGGACAAGCTGAGGTGGGTGCTCACTGCAGGGGCGGATTCGTGGGCTGCCAATGGCAGAGACGGGTAAACCTTGAGCCTGCCATGGGCAGTGAGGCTTTGGCCAAGTTCCCTCCCCTCCTGGTCCTCAGCTTCCCACAGGGAAACTATAGATATGGGTCTAGACCTCCATGATTCCTTTGTCCAGGTGGGAGGCTCCTTGGAAGTGAGACAGGTACTGTGGCCCTGTCGTTAGAACATTCCAAATCCAGACTCTGATGGTGGCCACTGGGACATGCAGGTTGAACCACTCCACCTGACAGTCCCCTAAAGCTTGGGCCACTAGATGCTTTCTCCCCATACTCCCAAGTTCTGCTGTGTTCCCACCTCCCGCATGCTGGGGGTGCTGCCGAGGGAGGCAGGACACCTGGGAATGGGCACTACAGGGACACAGCCTGTATTGGAGCCAGCCTTGTTGTCCTGGTGATGGCTCATGTCCCAGGCACCCAGGCACCCACGGGGGCAATTAGTGAGTGTGGGAGGGGGTTTCCATGGTGGCAGTCCCGAGGGGGTGCATCCGGGGCTTGGGGAGGGGCAAGGACCAGCGGGACCTTTCTCCTTTGTCCAGGGCACAATAGGACTTTGTTCTTGCCTGGCTCCTTTTGACAGAAGGGACCAGGACCTTGGGTGGTGGTGGTGGTGTGTGTGGGTGGGGGGGAGGCGTGTGTCTTCAACCAGCCTGGGAGGAGGGGTAGGAAGGGCAGAATAGGGGGTAGAGCCCCATTCCTGGTAGTGGGAAGCTCTTCCAGCAGGTGCAAAGCTTTACCTGGCCCCATGGAGCCTGGGGCACAGCGGCTGACAATTGGCTCCCGTTGCTGGTAAACACCTTCCCCAGCAGCCAATGGGCAGCCTCGTGTATGTCCCTAGGGCAGGACCAGAGCTGAACCAGGAGAGGGCCAGGCTGGGAGGAGGACGGTGAGGGGTTTATTCCAGGTTCCCCCAGGAGCCCTTTGGGGTCTGTCAATGAATTTGAAACTGAATCTGTGGAGAACAAAGAAAAGCTTTATTTGGGGTCTTAGGAGTTGCAACCCAGAAACACAGATTCAGATACAATTTGAAAAACTGTTTCAAAAAAAAGGGGGGCAAGAGTGACGGTTTAGAAGGACAAAGGTTCTGAATTCCTGCACGTCCATAAACGTTCTTATAGAAGGGCTCTCATTAAAGGAAGGAATGTAGGCCACCTGACTGACGGAAGGTAAGGGAGGAATGAATTTAGGCAAGAAGTCCATAAAACAGAAGTCTGACGGCGCCTTGGCAATATCTCGAGCTATTTCAGGTGCCCAGCACCTGGGGCTGAACATGCATGTTCCTGAGAAAGCCACGAGAGGTACTTGAGTCTTGTCTCCACATAGCGCTGACCAGGGTAGCCTGGAATCTCCTGTTTTCAGGGAAAAAACTGGTGTGCTCTGGGATCTCTCTGTTTCTTTAAACTTTCAGTTGGTGAGAGGTGGCATTTTAGCACGAGTGAGTCCATTGTGGTCTCGTTTGCTGGGGCCTAGAGCAGGAACTTAGTCCAGAACGACGGTATGCTATAATCTTTAACGCACCCCTCAGCCAGCAGGCCGCTTCGGTGCCAGCTTTGATACTTGCAAAGCACCAGGATGGCTCTGGGTGGATGGCCAGCCACGGTCCCCAAAGCCCCACTCTGTGACTTTCACCCTTGTGCCTGACACAGTCCATAAAGTGGAGGAACCTCTCCTTTTCTCACTCCTGGTCCCTGCTGGGAAGGGGGCTGAATCGCCGAATCCCAGCAGTAAAGTGCAGTGCGCATTTGTGGGGCTGGCATCGGTCATTAAGGTGATCGGGACTGGGTGTCCCTGAGTCCATGGTTCCCTCAGAATCGAGTGTCCAGGAAGGAAGCAGAGCCTCGATGGGACCTAGGGGGGGCCTCAGTGGGGACACCCCGGACTCGAGTCAAGAGCCCATGGAAAGTTTTGCCGCGGGTCTGGGGTTTGCGCCGTGGTGGCCTGGCCTCCTCTGGGGGCTGTACCACAATTCGGGGCACTTCAGGCTTGGCACTTCCCTGGGCTCCTGCCAGCTGCTGGGCTTCAAATACAGCCTGGGCCCCAGGCAGGCGAGCCTGCGGCCGAGGGGGCAGCCCCGATGCTGGCTCAGGCAGCAAGGCTAGCTGGACCTTGACCTCCCGTTGCAGGTCTCGCTCGGAGAGGGCCACGCTGTGTACCTGTGGGGAGCAGCAGGTGCTGAGTTTGCCCAGGGAGGGGTGGAGCAGGAAACTATGAGGTCACCATGGGCGGGCAGTACACAGCCTCAGGAAGTGGCTGAGGGGCTGACAGCCTCACTGGGGGAGCCACAGAAAACCACTGGAGGCCGGGGGTTTTCATGTTCTCTCAGCTCAGAGGACAGGAACTGAACTCCGGTTCTCACTTTGGCTTTCTACTCTGGGCCTCAGTTTCCTCGGCTGTGCAGTACAAGCTGGGCCATCGTGGAGGGCAGGCCGGGGCACCCACCTGGGACATGAAGATGTCTTCCTGCAGCTGGGCGGGGGGGATGGATCGAAGGGCACCAAGCGTCTCCAGGAGCCCTGGGCAGGCCTCACGCTGCTCTGTGGTGCCCAGTGCCAGGCGCATCAACGTCAGCCCCACACGAAACAGCACTTTGGCACCTGCGGGCCGGGGCAGGGCTCACTCACTGGGAAGTCAGCCCCTCTCCCGCTCTGTCCCACACCTGGAATACCCTTGGCATACTCCTTCCACTCCCTGCAATTCTCCTCCTGCCCCTGCACCCCACCCCCCGCCCGCCCCCACATGTACACACACACTCAGGCCAGGAGCAACGAGAGAGGGTAGGATTACTATGTGGGGGACACAGGCCCCGGCACTGACCCAGTCAGTCTCAGGAGTCTGCCAGGAACCAGGGACTACTGAGGCCCTCAGGCCAAACCTTTTCTGGGCCTCTGTTCCTTGCCTTTTCAAGGAAAGGTCAGGTAGGTGCCCTTTAAGGCCTTTCCAGCTTGGATGTGACCCTCTGCCTCAGAAAGATTCTAGGCAGAGCTTCTCACCCCCAAATCAAGAGCACAGTGCTCATCTGCACGTGCACACGCACAGTGCGACCTCGGGCCAATCTTGGAACCTCAAAATTCCTTCCTGGAAGCCTCTGATCTGCTAAGAAGAGCAGTCAGGGGACCCACAAGGCTGGGGACCAGGTGGTGATGCAGAGGTAATGCATCTAGACTCCTACGGGAAAGGTCCTGGGTTTGTGTCCCACAGCCTCCCTGAACAGGCTGGGTCTGTGTGGATCTGCCAGGGAGACTGGGGGTGGATCAGGGCATGGAGACCCTGTTGGGGATTTCTCACTCTCACTCAGGGAAAATAAATATTCAATGTAAAAACAGAGGGGACTGGGGCCAGCAGGTGGCATGGAGGTTGAAGCACTGGATCCCACATGGCTGACCCCTGTTTTAAAAGTTATTATTTATTTAATTTTATTTGTTATTATTACTATTATTTAATTTGACCAGCTAGAGAAAGGGAAAGTGAGAAAGCAAGCTGCCAGGTCCAGGACTCGAACCATGGTTGGCCATTTGGAAGTCAGCACCCTAACTACCATGTCACCTGCCAGCCCCCTGACCCTGTGTTTTGAATTCCAGACTTGGTGGCTTGAAAAACACACCAGAAGGGGCCAGCAGGTGGCTAGGTGGTTAAAGTGCTGGACTCCCACATGGCCAACCGTGGTTCATGTCCTGGACCTGGCGGCTTCTCACCCCCCCATTTCAATGAGTGTATGTGCTCAATAGCAAATTAAAATAATATAGACAAATAAAATGTTTTTTAAAAAATCACACCAGGCATATGTATGTGTATGCCCAGAGTCCTGAGAGGAGAATGAAAAAGAAGAGATTGTCACGTGGTCATCCCCAACTGGGGGGTGATTTCTCAGTTTCTCTTTCTCTCTTTCTTGCTCTCTGGCAAGCACATATGCCCTATGACTAAAATCTAAAAGGGGGGGCAATCTCTACTGCTAATGTCTCTCTCTCTATTTTTTTTTTTTTTTGAGAGGTTTTTGCTATAGGGCTCAAGCGCTCGCCAGAAAGACAAGAGAGTGACAGAGAGATAGAAAGTGACAGAGAGACAGAAAGCTGCAGGAAGACATCTTCATGTCCCAGGTGAGTGTCCTGGCCTGCCGTCCCCAAAGGGGATGGCCACACCAGCAATCCCTTCTCCTCCATTTTCCTCTTGGGATCTTGGGCACACACGCACTCGCGCCCAGCGTGAGTTTAAGCCACTGGGCCTAGGACTCGAACCGTGGTCTACTACATGGGAGTCCAGAGACATAGCCATTATGCTAACTGCTGGTCCCAATGTCTCTACATTATTAAAGAGAGCTTGTGCAGTGCTAGTCCTCAGGAGGAGAGGCAGGAATCAGCTCAGCAGCACTGACTAGGCTCCGCCCAGCCTGGCCCAGCTCTGCCCTCCAGGTCTGAGGCAGCGGAAGACTTGATGCTTAGATGACAGACAGCTTGGACACCATGGCCACAGGTCTTGGCCAGCTAGCTAGTGTCCCTCTGTGGGGAGGGCCTGGAGCCACTGAGCACAGAACAGATACTGATTTCTTCTCCCCCCTCCTTTTTTTTTTTTTAGTTTTCCAGAGGGTGCATGCACTTGTCACAGAGAGAGAGAGAGAGAGAGAGAGAAGGAGAGGGAGAAACAGGAGAGGGAGAAAGCACCTCCCATGGGGCACAGGCATGCTGCAATCCCTGTTCGCCATCTCTCCATTCTGTTGGATTTGGGGCATGTGCCTGCTGTGTTTCTAAAGTCCCAGGTGCTGGGATTCAAACTGCCATAATCAGCCCTGTGAGATCCATCTCTCTTAACTACTGGGCCACAGGGCTGGCCCTGTATGGATCGGTTTCTACTGACTATGTGCTTTTGTAGGTGTATCCTCCCGCGAGCACACAAGGGACAGAACGTAGGTGGGTTACCGATCTAGGGTAGCAAGGCAGAGCCCCGAATATGGAGTCCAGTTTGCTCCGCCCGACTCCCTCTGCTCATGCCTGGCCCCCAGGCTCCATCCCTCTGGCTTTACTTCTCCATGCCCCCCACCCCGCATCGGTCTGGACCCAGTGGACAGTGACCTTCCTGGCCCTGGCCTCCATACAAGCTGCCAAAAATATCTCTAGAAATGGTAATTACTTCTTGCCACTCCCCTGACACTCTCTGTCACATCCCTTGTTTTATTTTCTTCATGGCACTTATGACATTCTATAAATATCTTGTTAATTTTGTTGCCGTTGCCTCCATTCCTGCCCCCACCAGAATGGAGGGCTCACTCACTCAGGTTCTTCTGGCTGCCAGAGCCACGCCTGGAGTGATGAGCGCTCAGTCTGTGCCTATGGGCTCCAAGGAAGAGCGCTTCCTGCTGTCATCCATACCCCAACCATGCCCAGCCCCTGGGGAGTCCCGCTGGCCTAGCCCTGGCCCAGGCAGCACCCATCCTGCCAGGGGCTGGGCTGTTTTTCCAGAGCCAGGCATGGGCAGTCACCTTCAGCACACCCAGGCCCGGTGATGCGAGGGTCAGGAATACCAGAGCAGAGCCAGCCCCCACGTTTACCCCAAGGCTCCCAGACCTGGCCACCCAGTCACCCCACTCACCCTCACTGAGAAAGGCGTCCCAGACACGTAGCACCGTAGGGAAGGGCAGGGAGCGGGCGAAGAGGCACAGGAACCACTCGGGCAGGTAGAGGAGGGGCCCGACGCCCACCTGCTGCAGGTGCTTGTGCACACGTGGTAGCAGCCGCCTCAGCAGGGCCATGAACACCTCGGCGTCCAGCCGCACGGCCTCCTGCAGCCATGTCCATCAGTTCAGCTGGCTAGTGCCACCCGGCACCTCCACCGCCAGCCCGTCTTCTCTCCCCTCATCCCCAGGCCTCCCACCCACCCACCTGCCCCATTCCAGACTCTCACCATGTGGGGCCCATAGTATCCAGGGAGGTAGACCTCACAGATCTGCACCAGGCACCAGAAGGCCTGCTGGGGATGCATAGGCCTGTAAGCGCCTACCATAAAAGGGACCACAGAGGGAAGGCAGGACAAGGAAAAGTGGTGCAAGGGAGGGCCTGGCCCCCTTCAGGAGTCTGACTCAGTTTCCTCCTGTCCTGCTCAGTGCCTTGGGGCTCTTACCAAAAGCCCCCTCTTCTGCCCAAGCCAGGCCTGATGATGGGCAGGGCAAGACACAAGGCTTAGGGTGGATTTGAGAGTCATGGGGTTGGGGCTCCTTAGACAAGGCTGGGCAGTTTCTCAAGTTCAAGTTCTTGGGGGTTCTTGGGGTCAATGGGATCAGGGTTCACAGTCATAAGGTTCAGAATCAGGAGTTGTGAAGTCAAGGTGATAATGCCCAGACTCCTAGATCGCCAGTGTATGGGTCAGGGTCAAGGGTCTCAAGTTCCTGGAGTCAAGATCATTAGGTCTGAAAGTTACTGAGGTGGGGAATCATGAGGTCCTGGGTCACTAGGACAAGGTCTGAAAGTCAAGGATCCCAGGGCCCAAAGACCAGAGTTCCTAGGGTTGGAGGTCATGTGTCCAGAACTCAGGTTCACTGGGAACCTAGGTCACAAGGGTTTGAGAGTCAGGGTTTTGGGGGCTTGGAGCAGAGTCAAGGTCACTCACCTCTGGGGGCAGGTGCATGAGTAGAACAGCAGCCACAGGGCCCTGGGCCTGGCAGTAGCCCTGTTCTGGCCGATACAATGTGTAGGCCTTGAGCACCTGCAGGAGCCCCTGCTGCCTGTGCCAGAAGACCACATTAGGGGTCATTCCTCCACCCTCCCTCACCACCCTCTGATGGCCTCTGGCCAGGCTCAGCCTCCCTGGGCCTCACTGGGTCTCCTAAGATGGGTGGGGAGACTGGGCCAAAGCACCAGAGGGTTGTAGGGCTGGGGGCCCTTGGGCCTAAGTGGCCTCGTACCCGTGACCTTGAGGTGACACAAACATCTCATGCAGAGGAAACTGGCGATGCAGGTCCCTGCCGATTGTCTCCATCCACTGCGGGTCTCCAGGGGCTTCTGCCAGCTCCTGTGGGTAGGTAGGAAGGTGGGTATGAGGGCTCAGTGTGGAGAAGGGCCTCAGAAGGAAGGTGGGACCCCTGCCAACTCCCTCACCTGGTAGGTGCTGGGGCTGTTCTTCTGACACACATGGGCCCCACACAAGAGGGGCCAGCACCGGGCCCTCAGGGCTGATGGGATGCCTTTCCGGCACTGCACCTTTACCTGCGGGTGGGGCCAAGGGGCTCTGTGAGGCCAACCTCACCTGCTCATGTTGGCAGGCCCCAAGCACAACTCCTCATTGGGCAGGGGGCAACTCAGGATAGCAGGAAGCAAAGGGAGGACGTGCTGGGACACAGGATAGGTACATTTGTTAAGGCAGGGGCAGAGACAGAGGAGAATGAGCCAAGGAGGCCTGGTGGGGCCACACACCTCCTCACCTTCTTGTACCGCCGGGACATGGTTTTCTCCCAGTGTGCGGTCATCTCCACCCACTTCATCTCCCGCTGGCGGATAAGGTCTGCAGGGAGGTGACCTGTCCTGGGGACACATGGCACAGGTACCCAGGCTCTGGGCAGCTGACACCTAGGGCACACACCTACCACCCTTTCTGCTTACACAAGCGAGCTGTGAGGATCTCTGAGAAACCCTGTGGGGTGACCTGTGACCCGGGAGCTGCCAATGGTTGCCGTGGGGACAGGAAAGGATGTGGCTCCGTTGTGGTAGCAGAAGCAGGAGAGACTAGAGGAGTGAGTGGGTGTGTTGGGGGAGGGGCTGGCTCTCACCCAGGACAGGGACATAGACAATTAATAGAGGAGAGAGCCCTGGACTGTAAGCTAGGAGTCCTGAGTTTGAGTCTGGTTCTGTCTCTGATCTGCAGTGTGACCTGGGGCAAGTTTCTGTCTGTCTCTGGACTTGTTTTCCTGTCTGTACTAATAGGGAATGGGATGGGGAGAAGTTTGGGTTTTATGGTTTAGATCTGGGATTTCTGAGCCAGAGATTACAAGGGGAAGAACGTTCAGCCTCAGGAGTGGTTGCAAGCCCTTGGAGGATGGGACTAAAAGAGACATACAGAAACACATCCCCGTCTCTTCCCATTGTGCCCACCGGAGAGAGGGAACGTAAGAAATCACCTCCCAGCGGGGATGGCCATGCCGCCATCCGTTCTTCTCCATTTTCCTCTCAGGATTTGGGGAATGAATGCACACGCGCCTGGTGTATTTCAAGCCACTGGGTTCAGGACTCAGACTGCAGTCAACCATGTAGGAGTCCAGCACCCCATCATGCCACCTGCTGACCCCTGCCCCCATTCTACGATTCTATTTGGTATCTGGGGAAAGGATACCAGCTGAGTCCCTGGCCCAGTCTCTACTGCTAGACCCTCCTTAAATCCCCAAAGTTGGAACTCACTCCAGAATTCAGCTCTCAGCCCCCATCCTCAGTCCCAACAACCCACCATCCTCCATCCCTGTTCACTTACCCTGGCTCTGCTGAGCTTCCCCCAATGAAGCCATAGCGATCAGCCTGGCGATATGGGCTGGGCCCACTCAGCTCTGAGTCGGACCCCAAAGAGCTGGAGTCATCTTGCAATTCGGAAGCCTGCACCAGGTCCTCCCCCAGGGCCTGGGCCATGGTGCCCCAGAGCCCTGATGCCACAGGCTGCAAGACATGGGGAGAACCATGTGAGGGGCCACTGAGACCTGGGTCCCCATCCAGCCAATTCCCAGTCCTAGGGTTTGGCTGTGGCGTTGGAGGGGATAGATTTCAAGGTATCTCACCAAAACCCCTATATCTCCTCTATCTAATTGGCAGGAGGGGGGTGGGGGGCACTAGGCCCTGAAATGACAAGGCTTGGCCTCTGTAGAGAGGCCCAGCCCCAGACACAGCCCCTGTCCCCACCAGCCCAGCTCACCTCAGGCTGCACCTCACCTCCTCCTCTCACTTCCTCCTCAGATACAGCTTCAGCAACCTGATGGGGCCCCTCCCAAGTGGGGGAAGTCACCCCTTCCTCTCTGAGGCTCTTCCTGCTGGCCAGTGCCCCTAAGCCATGGGCTCCTCCCACCCTCCTGCTGGGTGGTGCAGGCCTAGGTTCCTGTGCTGGGTGTGATGGGGCCAGGGTATGCCACAGGCAGAGGCAAAGCCACCGACAGTTTTGAGACTTTTGGTATGTAAAAGACCCAACTCAGGGTGCCAATAGGAATTATGGTTTATCTAATATTTGCCCTTTACAAAGCAATACTTTCAACATGCACACATGATAGTCTTATTTTTCTCAAAAGGTACCTAAGGGAGTTATACAAAATAATAACTTAGTGTGCACCAAAGCAGTGTGGACCAAAATGCGCTCGGAGTTTAGCGACAGGTGATTTGGGGTCTGGTCCGCAGCCTGGGGGCCAGAGAGGCTTGGGCCCTCGGTAAATGTGAGGTCCCAGTCTTGGTCCAGCCCCTTGCTCTGAGTTTTAGTTTCCCTTTTTACACCTCGAAGACTTAATCCGCAGAGTCTGGGGAGCTCACACTACCCTCCCACCCAGGGCTGGGGTGGGAAACGCTGTTTACTCAGCCTTTGAAAAACAACTTCCACAGCACTTCCGGCCTCATATCTTCAGAGAGGGGCTGAGCGACTCCCTTCAGGGGCGGAACCAGGTTTAAACCCCGCCCCCACAATCATGTCCCGCCCATCAACCCCTCAGACAGGCCCCGCCCCTGACGCCTCAGGCCCGCCCCGTCACCGAGGCCCCTCCTCTAGGGCTGCCGTGCTGCTGCGCTTCGGGTCC